GTCTGGTCCTAGCCTCGTCACTACTTTGCCGGGGTTATACCAGGTACTTACCAGCACATGAGGTCGGTTGTGCTGATACTACACTCTGCACTATGTGCAGATCCCGGAGCGGCAACTTTTGGACCGTAGCATTGGGTGGCTGCCTTCAATCCAGTTAGAGATCCCAAGGTAGTCCTGCAGGCGTCGTTAGGTCCAGCGTTCTCTTCTATCTTTATATGTATTCTATTCTCATTACTTCCGAGACAGATTGTACTTTTCTTTTCAGACATTTGTATGTAGTATTCGTACAAAGTCCGTGATATTGTGACACCGGATTCCGGGTAGAGACGTATGCTGGTATTGTCGTACTAATTTTGGCTAAATTATCAGATTAAGTCTTCTGCATGTATTTATTTATCGTTGATATTTCATTGTTAATCGCATGTTGATTTAAATTATTAAAAAGGCTAAATAAAAGAGTTAGGGATTCTATATTACGCGGCTTGCCTAGCTTTCACGAGTAGGCGCCAACACGACTCCCGGGGGTGGGAAATCCAGGTCGTGACACTGGGCAACAGGTCAATTACACTAAAAAATTCTCTTCTCTAAAAATTGCCCTACAAATGATGCTGACTTCTTTGCAAACCTTTTCAGCATCAAAATCAACTCTACTTTTGGGAAGTACCTAGGTTTTCCTATTTTGAACAAGAAGCCAAAGCCCCTAGACTATTAATTCATTATTGATAATATGTGTTCTAGGCTATCAAATTGGAAAACTAAATGCATGAACATCACAAGGAGACAACCCTCGCAACTTCAATACTCAACTCCATTCCAAACCATGTAATACAATACGCTTTTTTACCATCAAAAATCTTGAAACAAATTGATAAGATGCAAAAAAAATTTATTTGGGGATCTTCCGACACTGAAAATAAACTACATCTACTTAGTTGGAATGTGCTTCTAAAAGATAAAGAAGCTGGGGGGTTGGGCATAAGGTCTGCCAAATCAAAAAATTTGGCCCTTCTAACTGGTTTAACTTGGTGACTCTTATACTACCCGCATGTATCGTGGGTCAAGGTCCTTATTAATAACCATGCATTTAGGAAAACTAAAATCAATACGTCATTTATTTGGAATAGTTTTCTGAGAGGTTGGAATTACTACAATCTTGGAATTTTTTGGCTACCAAAAGCCAATTCTAATTTGGATATCTAGATGGATCCCAAATATTTCTTGCCTTAGAAATTGTATTGGAAGTCCCTTGACCAAAAATGATATCTCTCTCAAAATAGAAGATTGTTGTAAGAATAATAAATGGAACTTATCTAAAATATCCTTTAATCTGCCTAAAAATATTTTCGATAATTTGTGTACCATTCCACTACCCTTGAAAAATAGAACCAATGATATCCCTACTTGGTCTGGCAACAATAGTAGTCTCTTTAGCTTGAAGTCCTGTTATAAAATTATTGATGCCCCCCCCCCCCCTCTT